AAATAAACAGGAATATCATGTTGTAGAGATATTCTTTGTATTTTCTCTGAGAGGCCGGCAATATAAGGTACACAGCCACCCCTTCTCTTCTTTTCTCTCTGTTGGTTGGTTTCCTCTCTGTTTGTTTTAATTTTCCTAACTTTGCCAAAGGTCATTTAGGGTAGCTACACCCTGACAATGCCTTCTCGATGTGTTTGACCTCACTCTCTCTCGACTTGGTGTTGGTGGAGATTTGGCGCTCTGTGTTCAAGTGTTCTAATTACACCTAGCTTGTGTTGCAGTGGGTGATTGGAGTTGAAATGCAAATACTGATCTGTGTGCGTGGGTTTTCTGTAGACCTCAACCTTATTGGTTGTTGGAAAAACACTTGAATGAATTCATGTGTTTTTCCAATTCCACAATTCATATTTTATCATCTTGTCATCATTCAAAAACAGTTGTTTTGGAATGTGTGACAGTTAATGCACTAGCCAGATACTTGAGAGCAGTGGCCCGTTTTGTGTCCTGGACCATTTGAGACAACCAGGTGCTTTTTGCGGGCCAGCAACCATCATTTTCATTCTTTTTAAATTTGCTCTTTTTCAAGCACTGGTACTAACAAGAGAGTTAACAAGATCTTTCAGTGTTGTGTCCAAGGACCGGCAACCCGAGGCCAAGGCCAAGGACTTGACTCCGAGGCCAAGGCCAAAGCCAAGGACTTGGAAAATTTTCCGAGGCAAGGCCAAGGCCAAGGACTTGAGAAATTTTCCAAGGCCAAGGCCAAGGACCAAGGACTTGCCTCTGAGGCCAAGGCCAAGGACCAAGGACTGATTTTGAAGCTGAGGCCTAGCCGAGGACATGTATAAAACAATGCTATCATACCACTTGGCAGGTCTTCATGATTTGACACACCCCTCCATCATAACCCCTTGCACTCCCTAACGCTTGAATGAAGTGTTTTTATTCAAAGAGTAGAACAGTCAGGGTACGTGTTATTTATACTGAAAAAATAAATAAAAGCATATGATATACATTAATGAATTAATGTTTTAGTGCAGTAGGTTCTTAATATTAAGTAAATCAACACTCAACAGGCATGACATGGCACGGAAGACAAGTTGAGAAATGACTTTGCATAGATGTCAATCACTGAGTGCAGAAAAAGCGGTAATCTCTCAGTGATAATT